GCATAAATTTTGGATGAACCTTTGTATTTAAACAAATGTGGGAAACGCCGATCTATGTTTGTTATCAATCGCGCAATTTCAATGCATCCATGATTTAGGGAACCTTTTTTTTTACTCTTGGCTCCAAAAGTTAGTTTAAGGCATCGTAAGTAGGATTCTTGGTGTTCTCAATGAAAATTTAATTTTACACAGCATTGGATGCTTGCGTGCTTCTGCTGACCACAATTTTGAGCAATTGGCTTTAGCTCCCCTGTATTGTCGTTTATATAAACCTTGTCCATTTTTAATCAATTTTTAGAATGTCACATGTGGCAAACGGGTTCAGAGTATGACTAGCATATTTCATGTGCTTTAGCAAGTACTTATTGTTATTTTTTTTGTTCTTGCTCATTTGTCAAAATGGTGTTAACATCAACTATCTCTACTTTATAATTATCTTCTTTATTTGATGAAGTTGATTTTAAACTTTGATTCCCAGGGTCAGATAGCTGAATCTCACAAGAAACTGAATCTGTATTACTATCTTCTGAATCCATTTTTCTTTATATATTATCAATATGCTTGTAAATATAATCAGCTGAAAAAATATTATATAATAAAGTTAAAAAGTATTTGAAAAAACCTTGAAAATACAAAATGCATCCAAAGTTGTCTTTTAAATACAAATACAAAATACTTGATTGAAAAAGTATTTAAAATACTAAATACAAATATTTCAAAAGTATTCAAAGTAGGTATTTAAAACGTAGTAATTCAAATACTTTATAACACTATATAATCTGTAACATATGTTGTATAACATATATCATTATAAGATTTTTTGTGTTTCTTAAAAAATATTTTTATTCTAAATTTATTATTTTTTTTTATATGCAAAGTGTTGCGTTAAAAATAGGTTAAAACTGTTTGCTTCACAGAACATTTTAACAAAACTGCAAACTTGCATTATATTCCAGTTAAGTGACGATGGAAAAAAAATTCAAATTGTTGAAATGATTAAAGAGTACTCTCATTGTGTCACGAAGGTATTTACTATCATAATAATTACTAAATTAATTTTTTGGGAAATTATTTTGACAAAATAAATGCGATTAAAATAGTTTGTTGAATAAATCATTTATGCACCTTTCACATCAGCGTCGATTGGACATAAATAAAAAAAGATAATATGGCTCATATGCTTGCTTTAAAAGCTAACAAAAAGTTGATACAGCTACATATGATAAAATATATTGGTAAAGTTGTTACCCTAAAAGATATTTAAAACGCAAATCAATTTCTTAAAAATCAAAATGACGAGTAATTTAACTACTCTGTAAGGGGAGATGATAAAGCAAAAGAATTCTGTGACAGAGGTTGTTATAAATGATGATAATCAACTACAGGCATTGTAATATCAGGAAAAGAAAATGATAATATTATTTTCATTTTATCCTGAACCTTTTTACCTTGATTTTATCCTGAACCTTTTTACCTTTTTAAGCTTAACAACTTGCGTATTCCTCTTTATGTTTTAATGTGTGTCGATGGAAATGGTGAAGGAGTTATTGTTGCACTCTAGACTGTTGCTAATGAGAAGAGAGCAACTATAGAAAAACTGACAGACATATTTATAAAGCACAATAATAGCACTGGTATTCAAGTTGTCATGACAGACAAAAACATGGTGGGGAGAAAAGTGACTAGTGGGAAAACACGTTGTACTTTTCTTCAAACTTGTCTTTTTCATGTATTGCGCTTTTTTTGAAGGGAAATAACAGTCAAAAAAATTGGAATCAAGGTAGAGCAGAGACTTTTGGTATAATAAATCTTGCAAAAATTAGTGTATTCTAATAATGAGGTATCTATGATAATCATTATAGTAAACTTAAGAACCTAAATTTGGAACCTGTCAAAGACTGTCATAGACTATTTTAATTTAAACTGGCATGGCATAAGAAAGCTATGGATTGAGTATTTAAAAAGAAAAGCTTAAACCTCATGAAAAGTACAACAAAACGTTTAGTTTGTAAATCAGAAATTAAAGAGTGTAATTTTCAAACACTCTGGAATGGTAACATTTTTTTCAGATTTGATGGTTATTGGGAAAATAGAGTATTAGAAAACAAGCGTCGACATCAAACTATATCTGTTTTTCAAAAAATGTCAACTAATTTGATGCCCAGCACACAAAAAAAGTAATGAGTCTTGGTAACACCTTTTGCCCTGAATCAAATTAATGCGCAATAAATAGCTGCAGTGGAGCCTAATTTGTTTCCACAGGAAACCACCAGTTTGTCGTGCGATTGTAATTTTACATCTTCAATGGGTCTGCCCAGCAAACACATTTTAAAATTCCGATTAAACAGTGGAGAGAGTTTATTTGACGAGTCTCTCATTTTAAAAAGGTGGCAATTAGAATTTATAAAATTGACGCAGAATTCATCAGAGTTCTCTGAGTTACTACAGTCAAGTGTTGTTAATGTTTCATCTATTCAGCAAAATTGTAGAAAGCCTCTGTCACAACAAGAAAAATATAGAAAAACGTTCTTGATATCTCAGAGAATTGTTAGATTGGTCAGTGAGGCACAGGGAAAACATTTTTGTATTTTAATATCAAAGTTGTTACAATTTGAGAATTCTTTATAAGGTTTTCCTGATTGAGATTTAAATAACACGCTGTTGAATATTGTCGAGGTTCATAACCTTAAAAGCCCAATTTCTAATGAAGATTTGAACTCAATCTCTTCGGTTAAACCTCTCGCATCATCTACATATGTGAGCAAAAACATAAATATCAATTTGGCAAATGTTGAGTTAAAAAGAAATGGATTTGTTGAGTTATATTCATTATCTCCATTAGTTAACAACGCTGAAGTCAACTCGCTTTCACTTAATGAGTCATTAATAGTTTTTTTACCTTCTTACATTAAAAGTTTCTAATTGGTTATTTTTTTAAAATTTATCAATTTTTTTTGTCAGATCTTATTCTAATCAAGATACCATCACATATACCTAGACGTGGTCAACCAAAAGTCTCTGAAACAACAGTTAGTGGGTTAACCAAAAATAAGAAATTTATTATTTTTTGATTGCTGCCATTTTTAAAGTTGTCCCCAACAGATAAAGATAATAGTAATAATAAACAAAATGAGAAAATTTATAATCCACTTAATTTTCAAAAGTTATTTTTTACATAATAACTAAATATTTATTAATTTACACTCTTTTATATAAAGCTTTTTTATTTTGTTTTTATAGTGTTGCTTGAGTGGTTAATAAAACCAAATATTATTCTATTAGTCCTCAGTGGGAAGCAACTCATTGAGATTGTTAAAATCTCACCTTTGCTGAAAATAATAACAAAAGTAAGATATGAGCCAGTTCAAATAAAAAGGATTATAAAATTTTTGCTTCATGGTCATATCTGACTTGCAAACTAAAACTAATCAGGCAAAGGAATCTTTAGCTGTGTCAAGCATGTGACAATAAACTATGTAGCACCTTTGTAGTATGTTGTGATCATTGCTTAAATTGGTTTGACAGAAAGTTTGTTGGCAAAAAATCAAGTATTCATGTTCCAACTTGCTGATATAAAAAAAATGTGGTAGATTGAACTGCACAATTCTCTAATAATCATGAAGAAAGTTTTACACAACTTAAAAATTCAGGTGAATATCAAAATGTATTCATCAAAATAAACTGAACTTGTTTATTCGTCTTTTGGTTAACAAATCGACAAATAATGTAATTGAATCTCAGCTTAACAATCACACTGAAAAACAGTCTTTTACAGATGATGTCCAGCAGGTATGACATATTAGTTTAGCAGGTATGACATATTAGTTAGTATGGCAGTTAAGTAATGAAAAAAAAATTTTTGGTATTGAGGATTCAATTTCAAAAGATGTTGAAAAAACATTAAAATACTCATTAGATTGGTGTAACGTAAAAGAACAGAGAAACATTTTAAAGCAAACTCTAGAAAAAAACATTTTCAAAGTATTTCTATTTATTCTTTCAAACTGTGAACAATTTTTTACTTTATAAAAATGTTTACAGTAGGAGATTAAGTAGTTAATATTATTAAGTAGTTATAATATTATTATTAAATTTTTTTTTTGATTGTCAGAAACCCTTTGAACCCCTGTAAGTTTTTCACCTTGTAATTTAATTTTTCTCATTTTTTATGTTATAACTTAAGATTTCAAAAACATAGTTTCAAAAATCTTTCTAATTATTTAGTTTTAACATCAGAAACAGCAAAGCCATAATAAAAACATTCCCTGATTATAAACACTCTGAATACTATGAAAAAACTACAAATTTTTTTGAGGGAATACTGTTTAATAGTTATAAATTTCCACTAAAAATCATTTTTGCCCATTTATAATTTTGTTCTCTTTTTATATAGAAAGAGAATGTGTCAAGCAGCACTTGTCCGGATCTATTTAAGTCACTACAGCAGAATGTGGAAAACACTCGCGACCAGTTTGATAAATATTTTTTCCGGGGTGGTACATTGGTGAGCAACAAATAAATTGTATATTAAAAAGTAATAGTCAAATGATGGGGGCATACCCGAGTATTATTTTTCCAAGAAAAAAATTTAGTTATCAAAAATGGTGCATATTAGTTACAGAATTAGAAACAAGTAATTTAAAAATATTTTTAAAATAAGCTTCATGTTTTTGAGCCATCACATAATATCCTGTCCTCCTCCCTCAAAAAAACAAACAGAAAAAAACAACAAACTAATATCGTATAGAATAAAACTTTCTTTGGCTTTAACTAATGTTTAAAAAAAAAATGAAACTCTATAATAGGCATAACTAGAAACAATTCAACGCCTGGTTCACTTTCAAAAACAAAAACAATCACAAATACTATTATTTTTTATATTACATTCAATCTAAATATGTTGCTTTTTAAAAGATTATAATTTCGAAATTACATTTTTTTTATATTATTGAGAAATTTAATCTTTTACTAAAGTTAATAAAATAATATGAAAATAAAAGAAGAAAGTTTGTGACCAAAAATGTCCAAAAATAATCTCAATCTTTCCATGACTGATGGCTGTGAAAACTGTTCTTCAACAAAATCTTTTTAAAAAAATTTAAAAATAAACAGAATACACCAACAATTTGCGTCAAATTTATCTTTTAAGGTTTTATTTTCTCTCCGTCTCTAAAAAGCAAGGTATATATGATATTAATTTTGTTTTTCTATAAAGGTATGTTATTATATTTACATTATTTTAAAGTTTTATGATTTATTAGTTTATAAGAAAATCATTTAAAATTATAAACAAAAGCAGAGTAACTACAATAAAATATCAAAACAAAAACTTTTATTTTTAAAAGAATCTCCTCTAGTCCTCGTCAGCCAATTTAAAAAAAAAAAAATTAAATTAAAAAAAAAAAATATCAAAACCATTCGAACATTTTATAAAAGATAGCTAAAAAAAAAGAGAATTTAAATATAAAAAGAAAGATATCAAAACTATCCGAACATTTTGTAAGAGATAGCTTAAAAAAAAAGAGAATTTAAATTTAAAAAGAAATATTTAAAACTGTTGTGGTCAGGGATACTATAGTTGATCCAATATGTCATATGCTTACAAGAAAGCCTATGCCTTTATAAATCAAAATTATTTGGAAGCTCTGTACGTTCTCTATAGCGCCTACAGTCAGAACATGGCTGGTATGTACGCAGTTGAACTAGCAATTGAGATCAAAGTTTTCTTCTGAAAATGTCAAATCTTTGTACTTTTTAGTATAAAGATTTGACAATAATTTTTAACTCTTAAATATATTGACAAGTAATTTTTAACTCTTAAATACACCATTGAAAACCTGATCAAGCGGCTCAGTCAAGCAAGAACCTTTAAAAAATAGTTTTTACCTTTTGAATTTGTATTTCTTACTACAATTTGGTACAAAATCAATTACAATCGATAAAGAGCTACTTTGATTGAACAGCTGCTGGAAGATCTTAAAGAAATTCGGAACTCCTGATTGCAAAATTTCTAAAAAGCTGTAGCTTTAGGAGGATTTCTAGGATTTAAAACTTAAATTGCTACTATAAGAAAGCATAAACAGAAGTGCACTCACGATGAGGCATAAAACTCAACCCATTTTTACGACAGCCAAAGAAAATAAATCCAAATGAACGTTTTTAATGTTGGTTAAAATTGCTTTAAAATTTTAGACTAGCAGCATCGTTGGCAATATGATTTTCTGTCCTTTGATTAAATAATGATGATTTTGCCGTTCAAAATAAACCACTCGAACTTCTGAACTTTCTCAGTTTTATCCAAAAGGTGTTAACAAAGAGAATCTCATTAAAGAATATTATCGTTTTTACAATGCTTGTAAATCATTTTTCAAGCAAAGAAACGCACTGCAGCTATTCAATTAAATCTTTTTAATTGTAAATAATAAATTAAAGAAGTTTAAACGCTGTTTTCCGTACTTTTGCATCATACTCCAGAATTTCAATACTATTTTTGTGTCAGTTGCAGAGGTGAACAACTGTTTACAAAGCGGATGATTGTTAAAAGTTCTTTTCATTTGGCCTTGCGTCATATTCGCCTTACTTACCATTTAACTACTTTAATTGAAGACAACTTAGCTAAAAAAGTGAGATCTTATTGGTATTTAGGATGCCAGAAAGTTGAGTTTTTGTTTGTTGGTTTAAAAACTTTTCGTTTTATTGGTTTAAAGACTATTTCTTTCTTGGTTTAAAACTAATATTTTGACTCATATTCCAGTTTTGTTTTTCCTTTTCTCAATCCAGAGAGATAATAGTAACGAAAAATAAAATGTGTTGAATCAGAAATAGATAATTGGCGCGTTCACAAAATTTAAAATTTTGCAAAATCTTTGTTTGAAATTGGCGCGCAATTTTTGAAATTGGAGGGCAATTTTTCAAAAAGTCAAAAAATCATTAATTCGAGCTTATTGTTTTGTAATAATAAAAACAAACACTTATGCTTTTTACACTTTTAGAAAAAAATTCATTGATTTTATAGTTAACTATATCAACGCAGTTTAACTACAGTTAACTATATCAATTTTTGTTTTTGAAAACATCTATTTTGAGTTTTTATAAACAAAGTTATGAGGTCAAATAAGTATTGTTTATAAAAAAGTTATTTATTATAACTAAAAAATTAAAGATGGACGATGCTATTCAAAGTATTTATATAATCCTTCAGAAAAAAGTTTTAAATTATTATTTTAAATTTTATTTAAAAAGTGCGATCAGAAAAATTTATTTATTTTCTTGAACCAATTTTTGAAGCATCAAAAAAGTTATGAACCCGCGAGATCCCACTTAATTATAATTTGGATGTTGTTCATAAAAGCGTATTATATATATTGAAAAAAAAGCACCTATTTTTGCCTCTTACTTCATTAACTAATTTTTTCTGATGCTAATTACGCTTTTTTGGAAACAAATTAGCGGTTTTTTCTTTCCTTTGAAAAATAGTAAAACTGCATAAAGATAAAGTCATTATATTTTTAAGAAACTGGTTTTGTAAAATACAATAATATAACAAAACATTTAGTTGCACATATAACTAAAAGTGTGACAAACTGGAGTAGTGGGAGAGAGGAAGTTTAGACCCAGGCCCCAAATTTTCTTTAAAACATTGGCTTTATAATAATACGGCTACATTAATCTAATGAACTTAATTGTCAAATTGAATTTAAATGGTCAAAAACGAAGATTCAAATGCATTTTTAAGGAAAATATTTATAAAACACCGCTTTTTTGGATCTTGCATTATTAAATTTAGCAACACTTATGTCAAATTTAAAGTCAGGGTTTCAAAAAAATCATTTTTGGACTTTTGGCCAGATTTTTTGCCTACTGTGCGCCTTTAAAATTTTTGATCTAGTCTCATTGGCGTTCTCAAAGACCCTAGATCTAACCAATGCAGAGTTATCTCCATCTATCTCAGGCATAAAGTAGAGAAAAAAGTGTTATCAGTGAGAAAAACATTACAAAATTTTTTCAGGTTTTCCACTTTTAGGTTTAGAATCCAATAAATGGAAGCTATTTATAGTCAACTTTTCCAGAAGTTTAAAACCTGTCCTAAAAGGACGGAATTGAATTTTTGAAGTTTATTCATGCTGTTTGAAAGAAGATTATCACAATGTTAAAGACCTTTTAGACTCTGCAACAAACCAATATTTTCGGGAAATTATTGCAGACTTTATTACAATAGCATCTTACTTTCTTTCTAGTGTAAATTTGTAAAACTTTAATATATCTAATTAAAAACACAAAAAATATTGTCTAAATATTATTACTTAATAAATTTTATTGTTTTAAGACATTTAAGTTTAATAAAAAGTCGATTTAGTAACATAAGAGCAATCTCAGACCACTTGAGGAGACAGAATTGGGAGCAACAAACATTCACGTGGAAGCCATTTGTTTATATAAAATTGTATTAATGTCACCGTTACTTCTTAAGTAGACTAGGCAAAAAATTATTTCATTAGCAATTAATTTTAATATCTCTTCGCAAAGTCACATGAAGCCAAAAAGTGAGATTTTTGTTGAACTTCAAATAAAAAAGAAGTTGTTGAAATCAAGACTTTTTTCACATGATTGATATTAGGAAAAAAAAGCATAAAACTGTTTAATAAATATTGCTAAATCTTTTTTATAACATGCAGAAATGAAAATTAATTAATAAGTTATTGAAACCTTTTGGTTCTATGAAATGCAGGGTATCACTTGAAGTTCGCATGCAAAAAGCTCACCTGAAAGAATTTCAAAACAATATCGGCAACGTCTCCGAGAAATAAAATGAAGCATTTTATAAAGGTGCAAAGAGATCAAGCAGAAGTAACGTGACTTCTACAACAAAAAAATGATAAGTTACTACATTTGAAGGTTTACGCCAAAGTACAATTTTGAAGACAACCTCAATTTTAAAAAATTCAGTAATATCTCTTAAAAAATGTAAAACTAATATACTTTTAGGACTTTTGAATTATAAAATAGGCATAGAAAAGAAGTTTTGAAAAACTGATTAACTGAAAACTTGTATTTTTTTTTAAATATTAAATTTTGAAAATTTTATCATGCTGATCAAAAATCCAAACTTCTAAGAAAATCAACTAGATACTGTAGCATGACTTTTGTATATAGGTTATGAGAATTTTTTTTTGGTTTTTTATATCATATTAAGATAAAATAAAACAATATCATTCATTCATTCTAAGATAGTGTGATATCGTTTTATTTCATCATAATATGAAATAAAAAACCTGTATAAAACACTCATAACCAAAGAACAAAGAACATGATACAGTTTCTAGTTAATTTTCTTAAAAGAATTCTTTTTATAAGAACTTTGTGAGGCTTTTAAAATGCGTAAGGTTGCTATATTTTCCGATTTTTGATTTTATATATATATATATATATATATATATATATATATAATATATATATATATATATATATATATATATATATATATATATATATATATATATATATATATATATATATATATATATATATATATATATATATATATAATATATATATATATATATATATATATATATATATATATATATATATATATATATATATAAATATATATATATATATATATATATATATATATATATATATATATATATATATAATATATATATATATATATATATATATATATATATATATATATATATATATATATATATATATATATATATATATATATATATATATATATATATATATATATAGATATATATATATATATATATATATATATATATATATATATATATATATATATATATATATATATATATATATATATATCGCTATTTAAATATTGCTACAATACCAAATTTTTTTTTTTTTTCAAAATGAAATTTATATAGAACAATTTTTTTTAAAATACTGATCTAAGCAATTAAAAATTATAAAGTTTATTAATGTTTTTCAATTTGTTTGTATTTATAGATTAAACAATTTAGTTAATATTTAGATTACATTTTGATTATACACATTAGTTCATTATTTAAAGAAATAGTTCCTTTTTATTATTTAAAGAAATAGTTCCACTTTTTATGTCAAAACATTAAAAACTAGACCCTTGAATTCCTCTTTAAAAACATATGATCCGGTCATAAGAATCACATAGGATATGATTCTTTTTAGTGTTATGATTTTAATGTCCGTTAAAAACTGAAAGACATTAAAAATTTTTTATTTAGCCACACCCTAACGTTTTTATTATTGACCACAGAAGTAAACATTTAAGTGAATTGATTTTTTTTGTGAAATAATTATCCTCAAAATTAAAAAATATAATGATAAAAAATTCAAAGTTTTGTATTTGAATTTAAAACAAAATAATTTACATACATTAGAGAATTAAATGTCAATTGAAATGATACTGTTTTATTGAGCATGTTATATAGATTTATTATCTAAAAAATAAGATATAAATTAAATACATATAATTTATATAATTTATACATTTAAAAACTATATGTTAAATATATATATATATATATATATATATATATATATATATATATATATATATATATATATATATATATATATATATATATATATACATATATATATATATATATATATATATATATATATATATATATATATATATATATATATATATATATATATATGCATATATATATATATATTTATATATATATATATATATATATATATATATATATATATATATATATATATATATATATATATATATATATATATATATATATTTATATATATATATATATATATATATATATATATATATATATATATATATATATATATATATATATATATATATATATATATATATATATATATATATATATATATATATATATATATATATATATATATATATATATATATATATATATATATATATATGTATATATATATATATATATATATATATATATATATATATGTTTATATATATGTATATATATATATATATATATATATATGTTTATATATCTTCTATATAATATTGCCGAACTTAATAGTTTTAATAGTAGTAGTGTCCCTTGGAGCGTATTTGACACGAAACCCTTGGCAGCCATTGTAATCGAGGTATTGGCAAGAAAGAGTCACAGCATTATAAGAAAACGTGAACGAATATCTAACGTACGTAAACTTTAAACTAAGTAATGTTAAAGCATATGTTAAAACAAACTGAAACATTTATCACGTTTTACAGTTTGATTTTTACTTAAAAATTACATTGCGTCAACCTCTCCTTAATTTTGATCTAACATTTTTTTCCTCAAAAAAATCACTACATTATTATAAAATCTACACGTGATGGTATGCCGGTGTAGCTCGAGTGAATAAGGCGGCGATCTTCTGAACAAGGAACTAGAGGTTCGACTCCTACCAAAGGCGGCTTATTTTTTTAATTTTTTTAATTATTTTAAAAAACAAATACTTTCGAAGTTTTATAAAGATTATATACAAACATATGTAACGTAACGATATTATGCACTCACAAAAGAAAAGATTTTAAGAATGCTAAAATTTCATAAAACATTAAAAAAAAAAAAAAAAAAATTACCAGGAGAAAAAATATGTTGCGTATCTATGATAATTGAGACACTTATGTTATTAATGTGCGAATGTAATTAGTCCTAATATACTGCGGATGGTCTGAAAAAAATGTTGTCTGAAACTTAATAAGGAAAAAACTTAACAAGACAGCCCTGCTACTTCATAAGATGCTGCTGTGGAGGCAAAAAAAAAAAAGCCTGTAGCTAGATAAAACATTAAAACTTTCTTTTGACAATTAAAAGTTTATTTTTTGCTACATTAACTTTTTTTACTATAAATATATGCAGCAACTGTTTTTTCAAAACGCCTTAATATGCTTATGACGTAATTCGAAAAAAAACCCAATTAAAAATAAAATTGTTTGGAAAAACTCTTCGTAAAACGTTTTTTGAAACGAATAACTTTTATTTAGTTTTTTTTTCTTTTGTGCAACTTTCTTTTCAATAAATTTCTTTACTTTTCAGAATATGACCATTTTTAACAATGCTATAGAAAAAATATCAGTAAATTGATTAGTAGTATTTCAATTATATTAATAAGATTAAATTATATATATTAAATTATATATTATATATATTAAATTAAATAGATAAATAAATTGATATTCAGTTTATACATGGGTATTTTTTTTTTTTTTTATGCTTAGTGACAAAATAGACTAATTAGATAAGTCGTTAAGTAGAATGCTAAGAATATATTTATGGCGGTTATTGTTGTTAAGGGTGATTAATAGGCAAATAAATTAAAAGCTAATCAGGGCTTTGAATAAATTATAAACTAATCAGGGAAGTTTTATTGGTAAACCTAATAAATAGGAAGATAACATATAATTCAGGTAGACATTGTTTTCACTTTTTCGCCAAACTTTGATATCTTTGATAATAAAAAATATGACCTTCCCAATAATTATAGATGGTAGTGTATTAACCTTTTTTTTCGGAACCACAATCCGTTATGATTTGTATTTTATCAATGTGAACGAAAGTCTATTCAAAATCTAAATATGTAAACTTTAAGTTCTTTAATTATCAATCAGTATAATTATAAAGTAGATGACATCAAATTTTACCGATTTATTTTTACTTAATAATTTCATTGCGACAATATCTCTTTATTTTAAAGCATTAAATGTTGTTTTTTAAAGTTTAATAAGTTTTCTGTTTATTAAATAGTGTGAAAAGATGATATAGCATTCCACAGCGATTGAAGTGCTTCGCTTCGGTTCAAAACCTTTTGCTTACACAATTTTTTTTTTTAAATCCTATCCAGTTTTCTAGAAAACAAAGAAAAACAAGTTTAAATGCATATAGATGTTATACGCATTGCATAAAAATAAAGATATAATATACTATAACAAACCTAACAAAGAGAATTTTTTAAAACGTTTTTAAAAATTTTTAAAAACATAAAAACGCTGTTGGAAATTTGTTGCGCATATATCATGAAAGAGATACTTATGTTTTAGGTAATTAGTTAAAACTGCGTGTTCAACACACATTAAAGAGATAAATTTCTTTCTTATATATATAAAAAAAAGGTTTTACATCGATCTGAAATTTTTATTAAAACTAACTGGTCAAGAGTCCTAAAAAGTACGGAAAGGTGTGAAAAAAAAAATTGTAATGTGAAACCTAAAAAAAAAATTTAGTTACTCCAGAAGGTGACAAACAGAAAACCCACAAAATTTTGCCTAATCTGCTAATAGAAATGCTCGAATATTAAGATATAAACAAATATTAAATGATTTTTGTATTACGAAACGTACGCCAACTCTTAAACCACTGTAAAACTATCTTGCGGTTATCTAATTAAATCCACCAAATCCGTTAATAAAACCAGCTTAATTAATAGATTCAAAACCATCTGATTTTTGTATTATGATATGTGCGCCAACTGTACTCTAAAACTAATAAAACTCGGCCATGTGGTCTTCATATCGATTATAACAATTGCAAAGCGAGGGACGACAAGTAAGTTTTATCTACAAGTTTAATTATTGTAATCTTCATTTAAAAAATTAAACTTTTTTTATAATTACCATGTTAATATGTTTGAAGTTAATATGTTTGTGACGTAAGAATAAACATTAAGATTATTTTTTAGAAATGAGCAGCCAAGATACAGAAGGTATTCTTTTAATTTTGTATAACATTAATTAATTAAAGAGATAAAAAGAGATAATACGTCAATAATACTGAGATATTTAGCTTATTATTTTATTAAGAAATTACATTAAGTTAATTTTGTATATCTTTAGGCGACGAAGAAGTTTCTGCATTTTTTCGAAGTAAGCCATATATATATACTATGTATAATAGCAGTTACATATGTTCTAAAAGTGGCGGAGCTGTACTTGATTTACGGTGTGAATAAAACGATGATTTAATTTCTCTAAAATTTAACTAAAATTAAAAAATATATAAATTAATTTTTAGAACTTTAAAAGGGTGGACCCAAAACTCAGTTTTTGTTTATTCCGCTAATTTGATTGATGTTTTTGTAAAGCAGTGAACCTTAAAAACGCATATAAGCTTTATTTAAGGTGTTTAAGCTATAATTTTATAAAACGTGTTTAAGCTAAAATTGACTTTTAAGTCTTCTAATTACTAAACTTTTACGTAAAATGAAACTTTTTGTTATTTACTGAATGTGTTAAATTATAAAACTGTGCAACAGTTTTATAATTTAAGACTAATCTTATATGTTTAATTGAAAAAGTAAATATTTTGAAAATTTAATTTTGTCTCTATATATATTAGATGTTCAAGAGATCAGAGCCGAAGAGCTCTTGCCAAGTAAGCTAACTTTGTATGAGAAAAATATGTTACAAAGATATATATTTCAATTTGTTAATTATAACTTTTTGTTAATGTTTAGCAGAAGTAATGGACAAACTATATGAGGAATTTTGTTGTTTTTTTTGTTTTTTTTGTGTGCAAATACATTTATGCTTTTTTAGTTTTTTTAAAGTTATTTAGCAACTGACTTTTGTCAGTTGTGACAATTTGTCAGTCAGCAAGTGACTTTTGTAACTTTTAAATTTATTTTATTTAGAAAAATTAGAAGATTCTGTTGAGAATCTAAGTAAGCAATTTGTTATTGTTGTTGTAATGCTGTTTATTTTTTTTATTACATATTTATTTAACATAAAGTTATTCTATATTTGGCAAGTTAGTTTATGTTAATGTTTATAAGCTTTTCATTTTATTTAGAAAAATTAGAACATTCAATGGGTAAATAGAATTTGATTATATTACATTTGTGTATTATAGATAAAGATATAGCATTTTACTTTCAAAAAAAAGGTGTATTCTATGGTCTTTTAGCTTTTTTGATACAATTTTTAGCATTTTTTTTTTGTAGGGCTTATATTTCAACAACTTAGTAAGTTACTATATTGTTCTTGTGGATTGTTTTTATTATTTTTATTTATTTTTTTTGTCGCTTTTTTCTTTTTTGGTTTGTTTTGTTTTGTGATTGTTGTTTTTGCCTTTTGTTTTGTTCCAACTTTATTTATAGATTTCCTAAAGTTGACAAATATTCTGCATGTTAGTTTCTTTCCTAGTGTTAATATTTTTTCTATTCTATTTAGAATATTTGGAAAATTCAATTGGTAAGCAAAGTACACTTATGTTTCTTTTTGTTTAATTTTAACACACATTTTTTGATATTTGTGTGCGGTTTTATCACTCTAAAATAAACTGTTTAATTGATTAGTATATGTTAGTTTATATTCACTATAGCGTCATCTGCAGTACCGTCAGGTAATGTGTTTTGCATTCTTATGCAGTTTTAAGAGTGTTATGTGTGTTAAAACTTAAAGATAGCATATCTTAATTTACAGATTACTTTA